GGCTACTCTTCTACTAACGAATAGTGGGATTGACCGTCACATTATAACGCCCCCACGGCTGAAAGGGCGAGCATGTTTGGTGTGATGGGGGATTCGAACCCGCGACCCGCAGATTGCGAGTCGAGCACCCTAACCACCTGGCCATGCCGGGCCATTTTTTTTAAATAGAGTTTTGAATTTACATATATAGATGTAGATATACACATATGAAGACAAAATAATGGTGTAATGTCTGTAATATTACAAAAAATAGTTATTCTGTTTTAAGATAAAGTAATAGGAGTGTATGAAAATGACAACCCTTTATTTTCCAAGCATGTTTCTTTTCATCTAACGTTCCACGTTTATATCTTGTTTGTCAACAGATATTGTCTTTCACTAAAACATAGAAAAAATTCAAATACGGTCAACAATTAATTTTTCCACTAGAGATACATCAACTAACGCTTAACACTATAAAGATGTTGAAAGACAAGTCTTACTAAATAGAAGCTGATACTGTTTTTAATAACTGTTTTTTTTTCCAACTTTTTGATCTTGACCTAAACAAACTCATTTTATTCATTCGTGTGAGCTTTAATATTCCGAAACCAACCAACACACACACACACACACAAGACGGAAAATTATTCAATGTGTTTGTATCTTTTGTTTATTTTGTAAGAATGAGTTATATAATACAGTATTGTTTGTTACTTCTGTCGTAATAATCTGCAGCATTTCAAAATTGGAAATCTGCTCTGCTTGATTTATTGAGCTTTTCAAAGAGGTCTTTGAAGATAATTATCTTCAGGTTAATAACCTTCTATCTTTTTTTCTTTTATTTGTTTTAGGTTCCTTTGACGATACGATCTAAATACTGATCGTAAATCAAAGTACAAATATATATATATTGTAACATGTAAAAGCGCGGTTCTTGCTTGCCTACTATTTAGTATTTGTACAAGCTTTCGCCACAGTTTCAACATCCATCTTATGGTTTTTCAGTATCAAGAAACACTTTAATGGTTCATAATAGGGTTCGCAAGAAATGTGAAAATAATGCTATATGAATATTATAATCAAAGCTCATGAAAATGACATTTATTTCAGTAAATTACGTCTTTCAAGTGAGTTTTAAAGTAAGTAAAAATATTTTCCAAATCGTATCTTTATAAGCAATTATATTGTTAGATTGAGTTGGGCAAGAAATGGATTTTTAGAAAAAAACCTATTTTACTTTGTTTGTTTGTAATTAAGCACGAAGTTATACAATGAACTATCTATGCTCTGCCCACCACGGATATCGAAACCCGGTTTCTAGCGTTGTAAGTCCGCAGACATACCGCTGTGCCATTTGAGGGCATTTTGGTATTTGTCACGAGACTCGATGACAATTACGGGCAGATAGCTTAAATATAATACATATGGTCATTTCTATTCAGAAACTTTGAAAACATATTTAGAAATATATCACGAAAAATGTTTCACCACTAGTTATTTCAAACTCTGAACGAGTACTGATAAAAATACAATCATGTGATAATCGTTGTATCTCACACTGATAGTATTGTGAAACCCAGATACTAAACGTGAACATTCTGTTACTTTTATAATCATACATTCAATGCCAGTTCTTTTAACTGTCATTGAAAACCGTATCTCTAATTTAGCCCCTCCTAACAAGCATCCACAAACTGGCTACCTGTTTCAAGAACTTTATAATGAAACAAGAGCTTATGGTCTAGCACAATACATTTATTTCTATTAAAACAAAACACTGTGTAAAACTATTTTGCAAATTCCTAAACCCACAATGTGAAATATTGTAATCACACAAACTAGAAAAATAAGTGGTATGATTACATTATTTGACGTTGGGGTTTGTGAATTTGTAAAATATAAGTTTTACACAGTTTTTCGTTTTGATATACATAAATGGTAAGTGCTAGACTTGGTTGTAGAGCTAGCAGCACCAAATTTGGCAGGAAGGTCAGGATGCTTCGGAGGGTGTCCTTATCTGTATGGCGTATCCCCCACAAATGGTACCAAGGTACAATAAAACGTAGGCTAAAGGTGGCCCATACCTGATGGGGATCTAGTGAGAGATTTTTAGTACCGATGAGATCGAATTTGGCATTGGATTTTGACCTCCATCTTTGGAATCCTGGAGGCACCACGTTTGAAGGCGGGTTCATAGCCATGTAATATTTGTGTTACCATTACCAAGGTAGGCTAAAACGTCACCCAGGCACAATGCGGGTCTAAGAATAGATATTCAGGGTCGTTGAACGAATCTGATATCAGAATTTATGTTATTGGGGCCCCTTGAGATTTAGGGGACTGTGTTCCTATCTCAGCTTACAAGCTAACAGGACCGAACGTGGCACATTTGCTCAAGTACTACGAGCGGGTGTTCTAATAGATGTCTTTATAAGTACGCACCCCCTTGGAATAGACATAGAAGTAGCTAGGGATAATGGAGGAGCTTGATGAAAGCGCCTTTGAGCCCTACAGTGGAGCTTGGATATTTCATGCTAGTCAATATTAATTTCAATAATGATAACATGGCATAATAAAAAATAATAATTTATAAAAGCTTTGTGATAAAACGTAAAAATCAAAAATAAAAGAGGATAGTAACAGAGTAAGTCGTTAAACATTAGAACCAGTTGTACACTTCAATACGGGCATTAGAGTCTGAAAATAAGATCTAATATATTACAGTTTTTTAAAATTTTAGTAAACATATTGGTTTTAAAAATCATGAAGACAAAATAAATAAATATGTGATAAGTATAGTTACTTGTGTACGGGAGCATATTTTTTTCTGACAAAGACAGACCAATGTTTTGTTGAAATATGTAATATGTTCTCATCATAAAAGAATTATCATTATGCTTATAAATCGCTCTTTATCAATTTATTTCTGATAAGTATAGTTGATGTTCAAGTGTTGAAAAGAGAATATAAAATTAAGCGTTTAGAAGGTTGATTTATGATGGTTGAGGAGTCGATCTTAGATATACAATTTTAAGGTTTTTAGTAGAGCAAAGTGTGGGTGGTTTTGAGAAAAAAAAACATTGACGATTGTTTGTTTTTGAATTT